GGAGACGATAACATAAAGAGTCCAAAATATGTTGTGAGCAAGTGAACACAATGTTTTCATTCCCTAATAAAGAAGAATGGACCAATGGTTCGTGAGCGGCTGTTCCAACCCCGAAATCTGCACATTATTTATGTGAAAACCCAGCCCTCAATCGAATGAGACGGCACATATTCCACGGCGACCAATGCTCCAACTTAAGACCCATTGAAAGAATCAGATTTTTACCAAACCCACTGAGGTGAAGGATTAGGCTTAGTTTGGTTCCCACAAGGGAGCACAATAAGCTTAAGTGCGGCCGTTTAAAATCAGACGCTCACTCTCAACCAGCCAACCAAGCCCTCAAATATTGTACTTCTAGGTCAGAAAATTTTCTTAAACATGATTTTTATAGATTATTCGCAATTATAAATACTTACATGTGGGTATAAGGAGGTTTGCTAAATTACTTTCGTGTTAGATATCATAGATTTGTAAAACCCGGCGAGTGGCGAATAGAACAAACAACTGGTATAAAGCAATTTTTCTTCCATACTCAAAAAGATATGGAATATCTAGCGGTTATGCTACTTTAATGAGCTGACCACTTACTCTCATATAAAGCATTTGTTGGGATAGGAGCATAGCGCTCAACGAGTAGAGAAGGAGCGAATTCGAAACAACTATTGTTTTAAGTTATTTCATTCTCATAATTTTTTTGGTCCAGATATAAACAGAGATGTATATTTTAGTACCATATATTATAAGTAGTAGGCTCAGTCTGTTTAACTGCGCTGTCAAAACAGCGTGACGCCGCAATTGTCATGATAGTGCAAATTGATTTCAGTTAATTTCCCCACTCACTTATTCACCCACTTCGGCCATGCAATGCGGCTATTGCTCAAGTGTAATGTGTATTAACTTTTAAAGTGTGTTAAGAAATGGTAATAGCAATAGTCAGTTGCAGCAATATCCAGACGCAAAGTTTAACGAGCTTGCGATCTGSTGTAAGAAAGACATTTAAACATACATACATATGTATGTACATAGTTACATATTTGCACGCGACTAAGCTAGTATGTACCGATATATTGGACTTTCGCAGTATAATTTCGGTGTTATTTAATCCTAATAAAAGTTTCCGCTTACTTCACTTCACTTTTACTTTCATAGTCAGCAATGCGAGTTGCCTTTAATTTCATTTTGGGTACCACTGCAGACATTTGTGTGCTTAACGTCATTTGTATTTGGTATTTTTGGTAAAATCAGTAAATGTTAGTTTTCTTTTATACCGTAAGGAGGGTTTAAAATGCCCTCGCACCCTGTAAGATTGCCATCCTACGTGAGTGGGACCGCTTTCGCATTACTTCTGGGCAAAGTTTCCAAGATGGACCCATTGCAGGTGAATTTTTACTTTCACTGCGTCCACTGGTGCCTACGGTTTTTCAACCAGCATGAAGGATGTGACTAACCTCGAATTCTCTGAGGTTGATTATGCGAAGTTTGCGTCCATGTACCTTCTTTTTAGTGCCTAGTACATAACAGAAAATATTAAGACTTTATTCGTAATTTAAAAATTCTTAATTTATTCTTCAAAATCTCTGACCGCCCCTCAAAGTAATCCCCATTGGTCGTAATACACTTGCGCCACTGTCAACATAACCTTGATTTTTTACCTGCTTTTACTTTTTTTTGTTTTTTTTTGTTTTGCTGCCACTCATCTTTTCCACGAAATTCGAACGATTGATGATCAGTTTCCGGATCGTAAATATGGATTCAAGACTCATCGCCGGTACTAATACATTTTATGAGATTCTGTTAGTCGGAAAACATTGACAGACATTACGACAGTGTTTTTCGAAAAAAATTTAGCGATTTTGGAACCAATCGTGCTTTCACTTTTCTTAGGTCCCAAGTAATCTTTCAAATGGTTCTCACTGATCCTATCGATATTCCAACGATGCCAGTGATATCTCTGACTATTAATTCGCTCGATTCTTAAGCACTAATTGCTTTATTGTATTGACGTGTTGATCATCAGTTGATGTTAATGACCGGCCGGTGTTAATTTTTTAGCTACACCCACAAATACAATTTATGTAGCACTAATGTACTCATATGCTTGAGAATTCTACAGAATTGTATTGTTTTAGTCAGAGAAAAAATTTTCATAAGCTTAAAAATTAGCACCACTTAGTTACTCGTAGACAGCAAATAGTTCTAGGTTAATTAATATTCAAGGTTCTGAATGTTTTGTTGCTTCGTTTATATTTGGGCCGAATTCACACTTTTAGCAATAACTATATTGTAAACTAAAATAAATTAGGAAAAAAATTTAAGTAAAACAAAAGAAGAACAAATAAAAGGAATAGTGAAAAATGTGTTAAAGTAAATATTGAATTTTTAAGTTGTCCAAAATCAAAAAAGCAATTTTTTAACACAAAACAACTAGGGAAGAGCTAAGTTCGAGTGAAGTTCCGTACAGTTTATACTCTCACAAATAAAGTGATATACGGGATTTTGATATATACATTGGGGCAAGGAAGTGCCCGGAAATCGTAACTAAAACGCAAAATGTTTAATTATTCATCAATATTTATTTTGTCGCCTTCAAATAAATCTCCCCCCGATGTAATACACTTATGCCAATTATTCCAGTCCTCAAAACATTTTTCATAAGCACTTTTCGAGATGGCGTTTAGCTCCTTCAGGGAATTTTGTTTTATCTCTTCGATCGGCTGAATATGGGTTCCAAGAAGCGGTAATTTCAGTTTGGGGCACCAGAAAAAATCACAGGGAGCAAATCTGGTAAACACAGTAGTTGATTAATTATATTAATGGCGTTTTTGGCTTCAAATTCAATCAAAATTGTACTGCTTTTGAAGAAAATGCAGCTTTGTCGGGACGAGTCAAATCAGAACGCGTTTCATACACAAAATATCCACCAAAATCATTCGAATGGACTCGCGAGAGATGTCGAGCTCTCTTGCCGTCTCTTTAACCCTTGCCTGATAATTTTCAAGCACCATGTCATACACTTTTTTAGTATTTCCATAAGTTGAAGACGTTCTATCCTCTACGGGTTCTATCCTACCTTATATAATCACTTATATTATTTCGTTGCAAAGAGTCTCAACTGGTCAATTCCTTTATTTCCTCTGAATAAGTGAGATGATATGGGTGCTAATAATCCTGACACATGCCATACTCCCTAAAACCTCAAACGAACCTCTAGACAAAGTCTGATTATCATAGAAATTCTACTACTTACTCTATAGGTTCTATCCTACCTTATTTAATCATTTATATTATAATAATAATAATAATACCCAACGATTATCCTCCTCCCGCCCAACCGACGCGCGGGGCGCAATCCGCGAACGAGCGGAATTAGCCGAGTCATAAAAGGCAAGAGAGTTTTAAACGTTGCTTATGTCCAAAGAGTCTCAACTGGGTCAAGTTGAAGAATGAATGAGGAGTATTTTCTGGTCAGTTCATCTGCGGGCGCAATTATTTCCCAAAGGGTTCTTTATTTTGCCAGAATAAGTGAGCTGATACCATCGGCCAGCGCTTTTTTCTTATCAAATTTTCAGATGAATAATTCTTGAATTAAGAGAATAGTTTCTATTTACATTTACCCTGCTACTCTTAGAAAAATGTTGACTTAAAATGGTATTATTATTGTACGGTGTCAAAAAAGACGCTTTAGAAACTTGCTCTGTCTTTAGATTACCTCGCATTACTCGCGGTAGAGTTTAATAGACACTTGAACTTTAAGACTTCTGCTTTTTAAATACAATTTTTGAGATTGCATGTGTTATTCTTCTTTTCTGGCGTAGACACCGCTAGCCGAGTTAACAACAGCGCGCCAGTCTATCTTCTCTCTCTTGCAGTTTGGCGTCAATTCGAGATAACAAGTGCAGCCAGGTACTTTTCCCACCTGATCTCTCCAACGTAGTGAAGGTCTTCCTCGTTCTCTGCTTCTTCCGGCGGGTACTGTGTCGAATACTTTCAGAACTGGAGTCTTTTCATCCATACGAATGGAAGATGGAGTCATGTGTAGAAGTGCACACAAGTGAGGAAAGTTCTCTGAGCGCCATTCACTTAGGAGTGACCAGAAATGATTCTTTTACATATGGCTCAAGCAGCTTACGACTTCTGTCCCTAGACCAAGTATCCTCTGGGTAGCCAAATAACATCCATCTGAAGACAAGCTAAAGTGAGAAGGAAAACCAACCCTTCATAGGGTTGTGCGCTGAGTTTGGAACACGCCACGTAAAGGAAACCAGACACGGCTGAGATTGCATGTAAACTATATTTGATCTCTTCCCATCTGATTTGATATACTTCTCTCATAGTATGGCATACAATAGCAAAATCATGCTATGCATCCATAGCCAAGATACATAAGTTCTACTTTTTGCCCAAATATTATATTATGTACCCTCGACATGCTCAACACAAGTAGCTATGTATACGTATGACCACACGCGTTTCAACTTCGTAGCTAACTGTAAAATATATCCATAGATTTTTAATTGCATTCCCACAAGCGCTGACACCGCCTTCATCCAGTGTTATTAGCAACATTGTGGTCTCGCTGTTGTGGCGCCAATGCGGTGCACACATATCTGAATACATATGTATGTGTGTGCATAGCATCATGTGTCCAACACCAGCACACACCATTCACCATTATGGCAAACGCTGCTAATTGCGAAATATGTTTGCTTAGCAGCGCTGTGCTGGCTTGATTCATCATTAAAGCCACTTTAGGGCTGACACTTATTGAATTTGTGACTTTGATTTGGTTTTGCACTTAACTCCTCGACACATGCAAGGACGCGGACGCATATTGCAAATGCTGAAAATTAATTTAAATCCACTTGATAAGCGGAGAGAGAAAACTAATTCCTTTCCCCCAGCACTTGATGTAATTACAGCAAATATTTAAATAAAACTAACAACAATCTTTAAATTTTTACACTTTTAACACTTTTTTCATTTTCTTTTAATGCCTGCAGTTTCCTCGACGATTTGGATCGGTTAGGTGCCAAGGATTATCAACCGACCGAACAGGATATTCTACGCACGCGTGTCAAGACGACCGGTATTGTTGAAGTGCATTTCTCATTTAAAAATCTCAATTTCAAGTGAGTAAAACGCTCCTGTAGTATCTACAAAAACATTTTACTAAAAACAATGGTTTTCTCTCTCTCCTTAAATAGACTATTTGATGTTGGCGGCCAGCGTTCGGAGCGAAAGAAGTGGATCCATTGTTTCGAAGATGTGACAGCGATCATTTTCTGTGTCGCAATGTCTGAGTATGATCAGGTTTTGCATGAGGATGAGACTACGGTGAGTTTTTACATGGTTTATTCTAAAGTAAGTGTCAAAGTGTCTTTTATAAATGCGGCTTATGACGTTTGAAATATTATAGTTCAAACTTCAACGCACAATGACAATTAGGTTCGTACAACCAAAACGGTCAAGGAACATTCTTTAACAAGTAAGAAGGGGCTAAATTCGGGTGAATTCGACCATTCATATTCTTATAACTTGCCCGGATCGGATGCTTATTGTAAAGGCAAGTCAATGGGTACTGCCCTGCATACTATCGTGCCATGGTTTGAGGAAGCCATTAGGGTTAAGGAATTCGCTGTTAGGACCTTCCTTAATAATGAGAGTGCTTTTGGGGTTGAATCGAACCTCAAACATCTCAATTTTCAGTTTTCTGAGTCTCTCACCAAAAATGGTCCTCAGACTCTACGAGACCATAGTCAAGCCCATTATGATCTTTGGGGACTTTATGTGATGGAGGGCTCTAGAAAAGACCACACTTGCAAAGAAACTCGTGAGTGTTCAACAGGCGGCGCAGCATGTGGTGCACTAAGCTCCACTCCTACCATAACACTTAACGCCATGTTGGACATAGTGAGCGGCAGTGGGCTTCTTTACGGATGGGTAAAACTTGGGGAGAAGGTTGAAAGGGGTTTACTATTAGAAGCTCTGTATCAAATCCAGCTTCAGACGTCCTTTCTATTGCAGTGTTTTTCAAGCCAAGGTAGCAGGCATTAAGGCTATGTTATTTTTTTTTTTACAAAAATATTCGGGATTTTAATGCCAAATTGACAATTATCAATCGATCAAAGAGATCGTAGGTCATTGTATAGTAAGTATATTCAAAGTATATAATCAATACTCAGTTTCAATTTTACGTCGATCAGTCAATTTCTCATTGAGTTATGATGTCAGCAATTTTGAAAAATGTCGTTTCGAGAAAAACGCGTTTAAAGTTTCAACATTTGCTCTTTAGAAAGCTGCCATTCAAAAACTCTTCAAGATACGACCTTGCTGATTTTACAGGATATTTTTAAAAATATAAACTGTCGAAAAAGCAAAAAACAAAAAAATCTACACACTGGTATAGCCCTTAAAGTAGCAGTCGACTTACTGCTCCGGAATGAAGTTTCCTTCAGAGAAGTGACCTTCCTCTCAGATAGCTGAGCGGCGATAGTAGCCTTGAACTCATTAACAGTGTCTTCAGGGTTGGTCAAATAATGCCTAACCTCGCTTTCAATAGCAACGAGAGTGTTTGTGATAAGGCTGATATGGGTGCCAGGCCACAGCGGAATCGCAGGGAATTGTAAAGCTGATTAGCTAGTAAGAAAAGGCACCCTAGAACCGCTATCTACAAGGCTACTAGCCTTTTGTACTCAGTAAGGTTAGCCTCTCTCTGGTTGTGGAGCTTTTAACAGGCCATTTCCTTATTGGTGTCCATGCTCTAAGGTTGGGAAGCTGTATGGAAGAAGATGAGGTGGAAATAACTCAATACTTCCTTCTTGACTCTTTCGCGTGTGTGTGTCAAGCCTTAAGCATTTTGGAACGCGTGAATTTGTATTGGCTACTAAGCGTATATGGGGCTAATTAAAGCATTGACCCTATTAGAGGACAGAGTCACGCCCACTTTTTCAAAAATTTTAATCCTTGTGCCAAATCAGTGTTACATACCTTATTTTAGTGCATAATTATGGCAATTTATAGGATTTTTAGGGCGAACAAACAAAACAGTCACCCCGATTTCAACTCGCTCGAAGACCTGATCATTTATATATATATTATATAAGCTATATCTATCTCGATTAGTTTTAGGTGCTACAAACAACCGTAAGGTGAACCAAAATATGTTGACAGTTCATTTGTTTATAGGTTATATTTCAAAAGTCGAAAATCTCACTAATTTACTGAGTAAAATTTTGCTATATTTTCATCTCTCTACCAGTTGTAACTTTTTCACTGTTATTTCTCATTACAGAATCGTATGCAAGAGTCATTGAAGCTCTTCGATTCGATTTGCAACAATAAATGGTTCACTGATACATCCATCATTTTGTTCTTGAATAAGAAGGATTTGTTTGAGGAGAAGATTCGCAAGAGTCCATTGACAATCTGCTTCCCTGAATATACAGGTAAGCTGCAAAATGGTTTAAATAGCCGCAAAGAATTATTACGTAGTTTATAAAATGAAATGTATATGTATTTTTATTATTTTTAACAAAAATATTTCCACTTGTAGGAGGTCAAGAATACAGCGAAGCTGCTGCTTACATTCAAGCTCAATTCGAAGCGAAAAACAAATCAACCTCAAAGGAAATCTACTGCCACATGACGTGCGCCACAGATACAAATAATATACAGTTTGTTTTCGATGCTGTTACCGATGTCATTATTGCCAACAATCTGCGTGGCTGCGGTTTGTATTAAGCASAAACAACAACAACATCAACAGCAGCATCAGCAGTTAAGTCCAGCGCAGCAAACGAACCAAACAACGCATGGCGAAAAATCATTGTCGGACTCCATCACCACCGCTTCAGTTACAACAACTACAATTATGATAACAACAACAATAATTATGTTAACATAACAACAAATGGCACGAGTGCAGCCAGCACTAAAGCGACTACTAAAAATTTTCAACAGAAAATGTTCGAATATTCAGACATTTTTCGAAAACTAAGAAAACTAACCTCAACTACTGAGCTCATGTCAGTGATAATGACAGATTTAAGTATTTTTGCCGTATGCAATGTGCTGGCGAACAGTTAATTTATTTTAAAAGTATTGTAAAAATTATTTTTGATGCCAATATTTTACTGTTAACTTCATAAAATAATCGATAACAACTGAAATTACAAGAAATTGCCAGAAATTGATGTACATACATACATGTAAATGCCAATGATGGCGGTGAGCGATGGATAACTGTTTAAATGATTTGTTAACGCGTTGCACTAAACAAATTGGCGCTGAAGGCGTAAGCTAAAACAGTTGCCACAGCGGTAACACACACAGCAGTGGAGGAGTGAAATGTACATTTTAGTCAAGCAAATTGAACAAAAACCAACGCACACATACATACACCCACGTACATACACATAAACAGACGCACACACCAGAAACATTATTACTAATTAAGCTTACTAAAAAACAACAACAAAAAAACCAATGAAGAAGCGAAGTGGTAGACACAAAGAAAGCAGTAAAAGAAGCAAGAAAACTCTCTAATAATACAGAAAATTTAATTAATTAAATCATAACTGAGATTAAAAACTGGCAACACAAAACCAAAAACAAAAAGTATAAATTTATTTAGAATTATATAAAGCGTAAAAACCAGGTCATTGTAATGTAAAATTTCGAAACACTGTAAAAAGCCGTTTACTAAGTACATACACACATACATACATATGTATAAATATGTATGTGTGAACATATTAGAGCAACAGTAAACCGTACAGAATTTGAAGTAAATCAAAAGCAAAAAAAAAAAATCAGTTTAGAGAAAACGCACCACTACTTCGACGCTAGTTTACTATATATGTATAAACTACATTAGGCTGATACTTAGACGATACAACAACAAAAACAAAACAACGGACCGTTTGCTATACTATTGACACACAATATACAGGTACATACATACATGCATAGAGTTTAAATAAATTGATTGCATTTGTGAATTTGTTAGTGGATATGCTGTTGGGGTGAACAACACRACGCACATTGTAACAAATACATACATACATGCGTAATTGCATGACCTAAAACTAGCACAAAGATAAACGAACCCACAAAGTTATTATTCATAAATTATTTATGATAAATTTTTAATACAAAAAGAATATATGAAATATGCTGTTATGCTATAGTAGACGACACACGATGACTTGTGCTGGGAAATTTTTAATTTATGTTACAAAAAAATTTAATTTGTTCCCCTATTTTTTATGTTTTTTCAGTTTTTTTTTTCGATTTCTATCTACTTTATTCTATTATCATTTTTTCAATTTTTTTCTATTTTTTCTTCAATATAACTTTTTAATTTTAACTTTTTCTTGGAAATATTTTCTTTTTTAAATTTTTTCTTCAAAATATTTTTTTTAATTTGCATTTTAAAATTTTTTTTTCGAAATATCGTACATAGTTATTTGTGATTAACATTTATTTGATTATGTTCAATTACAGACTGGTTCCATAGTTCTTTTTAAGACTTTGTATTACCATAAACTTGTTTTAATGAGATTAGATTTATTTTGCGCATGCTCTCTCTCTCATATTGTTTGAAAGTCGTTGGCTGCTAATGCAACTGTATGGCATGCAAAAATTTAATAAAAAAAACTCGATTTTTTCATAACTAAAGTTTTTTAATATTATTTTTAAACAATTTAATTTTGAAACATTTTTTTTTTTATTTTATTTAATTTTTTTCTAGATTTGCTTTAATTAAATTATTTTTTTAATTTAGAATTAATTACCGTTATGAAAAAAAAGCGAGAGCCTAAGTATGGCGAAACACATTCTTTTCTTGTATTTATTGCGCTTCAAGCACCTACCTTGCAGTCAACATACATACTACTAGCACGCATAAACACACGCACATACATAAACACAGGCGTACAATACAATTACATAACATACAAACAGTTATAAAAACCGTAAAAAATACATTAAAAAAAGAATGTAATATAAACGAGAGATTTATACTAAAATGCATATTCAACCATTAAAATAAAAATGTATAATAAATTAAAATAAATAAATATTTATGTATTTAGTGAAATGGCATTTAACACAATTTGTGTGTAATTGTTTATACTATGATTACTACTATTATTATTAATGATTATAATTATTATTGTTTATGATATACATATATGTATGTATAATGTATTATGATAAATGTATATGTATTGCGTATGAGCCGCCAGCTCGTTATAATTGAATTTATATTTTAATTTTACTGACTTTTTATAATTTTTATAACTTTATATAATTTTATTCACGCTTATAGACATGCATTTTTAATTGCATTTGACTTTTTGTTTTGCAAATTGCAATAAAACGTTTTTTATTTAAAATTAAAAAAATGTTCTAAAAAATAAGAAAATTATATAAAAAATTAAGCAACTACACAACATCACACAAATGCCATGTCAAATATTTAACTTTAAAAAAATTTGTCTAGTAAAATGTTACGATTTTCTGCTCAGAGCAATTGTTTTGCTCTCTTACTTACTTATTTTCATTACTTAACTACAGTTATGCCCCAACTGTTGTAACTAACCTGAATTGTTTTTTTTTTTAATTTTTCTTAATTTTTAGTTTATAAATTTGCATCGAAATATGTGCACTTTTTGTTTTATTTATACAAATTTATCCTTAAGTTGCCAACGCTCTCTCGAGTTTCTTCAAAATTGCGCACGCTTCATTGTTGAAAGCGCGTTCTTCTTTTTTTCTTTGTTAACCAATGCTTGTCGAATATTTTATAGACTTCTTCATTTTCTTTAATTTTGTATAAAATATTTATAACTTTCTGCCTTTGCCCTCATTTTACTCTCCCTCTCTCTTTCTCCTAAATATATATATTTATATGTAGATTCGATGCTATCGTGATTAAGTTATTTTAAATAAATAAAATGTACACTGTTACGCACAGATATACTTACTCTTACGTATTATCCACATACTCGTAAGTTGCAATTGTACCAAAAATCAGTTTTAAATAAAGCCTAAATAAATATGTATTTAAAAAAATTATATCATTTAAGTGTACAACAAGTATTTTGCAAATGTTTCGCTTGCAATAAAGTTTAGTTATAGTAGGAAATAGTTGAAAATGGTGTGAACACAGGTTTACCGTAATATTAATGAGTTCCACAACCTTATGCTGAGCGTAGTAGTTAATGTTTATGGGTTAATAATAAACGTGTTTACGCCAACTATTCGAGTGTTTCAATATTTTGTAAATATTGCGTTTTTTATTTAAGTAGACATTTTTTTTTAATTATTTTATAAAAGAAAATCATTTTACAAAATTGAATTTATTAATTTTTCAATTAATATTATTATTTTAATTAATAATAATTATTCAGTTTGATGTTCTTAGCCGTGATAAATTAATTTTGCTTAATTTTTTCACTTCGAAAATTTTTATTTTATCAAAAATTCGATAAAACTATAGTGAGTATTTTTTTTTTATTTGAAAAGTATTTTTCTATTGGGAAATTATTATTCTATCAAAAATTCCATAAAATATTTTATATTTTGAAAATGAAGAAAAGGAATACACAGAACTTCCTCGTCGAGATGAACTGAGCAACTAACTATAGCTCTCTCTCCTTTCTTATAAAAATTTTATTTTGCTGAATAGAATATTTTTATTTCCTTGAAGGCAATTTATGACACCACGAATTGACGAAACAGAATTTTAAAAATATTTCAGATACTCTACCACACATTAGTACTTACATTTGGATGTATGCGTATATTGCATTTTTGAATTTAAATTAATTCTTAATTTTTAAACTCAACTTCGTAACATAATAACAAAGAGCTTATGTGTGAACAAGTCACTAAGACATTCTCTCACTGCTTTACTACAAAACAACAATTTATGAATTGATGAATTGAAATTTGATTGAAATCACACGCATTTCGTGAAATTTTGATATGCTACAAGTAAAAACAACAACAACAACAATGTGTGCCACACTTTAGTGCGGTACAAACCAACATCGGCTATGGTCCAACCCCATCTTTACAAAATTTGATAAAAACTTGCTGCAAGCGGAAGAGAAAAAGAAAAAATGTGTTGGATGTCATGTCGTATACGCAACTCGCTGGTATGAAGCAGAGCACACAGCGAACTCAAACACTTTCGAGGTTCATCATACGCCGCGTCGTACAACTATTTGTACATACATAATTCATGTGATGAATTGATTTTTTTTTTTTATCAATTTCATAATAACAAGAAAAAATAAAATAACAAAATAATAATAATCAACAACACACAGCTGCGTACACACAAACTCACACACATATACATACTATACATATTGAACAAATTATTGTATTACATTTAATTATCTTCGAACTTAAAAATCCATTTTCTGCATTTTCACTCAGCGAACGTAGGAGGTAGTTTATACATAAAATAAATTCATAGCAAAGAAGCTGTTAGCAAAAAAGTGAATAAAAGTCAACCGAATCAGCCTACAACTTAAACTGTAATTATTTATAAAAACAGAAATCCAAACAAATTTTACTAAAAAAAAGAAAACTAATATTACGAAATAAAGTGACAAGTGTGAGGAAAAAGCATTTGTAATAATAGAAACCTTTGAAATATTATAGTATCTAATAGTATTAAATAAACACACACACACACACAAATATATTAAAGAGAGAGTAAAAAAGAGAATCACTTAACTTCACATTTAGTAATTATAATAATAATAAAATGTGTGTGAGGGGAAATTAATTCACATGAATATGCAACGTGAAATGAAAATAAAATATATTAAAATTAATATATTAAATAATTTAATAGGTAGACAAAGTATAGATGTTAAATCTAATTTGTAGCCTAGAAAAATTCGCTTTAGTTGTTTACTGTTAAACACACAGACACACGTATACACGTCGTCTAAGTATTTACAACTAAACATGTATGTACATACATACATACAAACATATGTGAGTGCATTTTTGCGTCGTTGAAGCCAGCGATTCTGTTTCCCTATCATAAGTAAACAGTTGTAACCCAAATTGATTTACTATAAACTATTCGATGCAGCGAAGTATGAAAATCACATAAACAAGTGTTGAAAACGACATACATAAATGATAAATTGCATAAACACACAAACATACAAACACATGGAATTATTTCAACCTCAAGAAATTAGAACAAACATTAACAGCGGCGAAAGCACACAGATACATACTTACATACATACAAGTACATAGGTACATACACACAAAAAATTACAAATAAAATTTTGCAAGAGCTTCTTCTCAATTAACTGATTGATCTAGTGTGCATAAATATAAAATTATTTAGATATATGTATATACATATATCATTCTTACGAGTATATATAGAACTTGTTGATTATGATTATTGAACAAAGTCGGTTTACTTTGCAT